AGAGAGAGAGAGAGAGAGAGAGAGAGAGAGAGAGAGAGAGAGAGAGAGAGAGAGAGAGAGAGAGAGAGAGAGAGAGAGAGAGAGAGATTTTGTTGCTGGGCTGCAGTTGATTCCTTCCAGTTGTTTAGAGAACTGACAATCGAGTGTGCAATGACTAAATGTAGGAGTGGGATATGCGCTGGCGAAGGAGTTTTTGCAAGCTGGTGACAATGTGATCATCTGCTCCAGGTCTGGTGCGTAACTCTGATAAAGAGAGCGACGAGCGCCCAAGATATGCTATGATTGATTTGATTTGGGTGTCTTGTGAGGCCTTGCGAAAAAAAAGCCTGCTTGATGGAATACAACACACGCCGGGAGAAAATTGTGGTTGGTTAGAAGGACTTCATCTTTTGAATTCTTAAATGCTTAGCCGAAGCCTGGTAATGGCCCCAGTGTCTCATATTTTCTTCTGTATATTTTCAAATGGGATGCTGGGCCCGGTTCCCAGTGCGTGCTTGCTCCCCACGAGAAGGAGCATTGTTCCCTGAAAAAGAAAAAGAAGAAAAAACTCGAAAAAAGCAAATTTGCAGTCAGTGAAAATTCAGCCTGTTATTATTATTCAGGTTCAAACTATCCCCCAATCCCTCCCCTGCCAGAGGACCCCTACCGCCCTCCTACTCCGCCCCTACCTCCTCAGCCACAATGCAACTCTCACCACATGAGGGACTATCACCAGACTGTAATCAAACAAAACTAGCCTGGCCAGGCAAGACCAAAGACATCACACGGTCTGGAGATAGACCGAGCTGACGATGCAGTGACATAACCAAGAGACTAGCAACGATGTCTGCAACCCTGAAGATCAGGAAGTAGACGCATTCCTCACAACCAAGCGACGTCGATGGTACCCTCTGAGCCAAGTCTGTTACGTTTTCAAACGATGACAGGAGGACAGGACAGGAGCGGAGGCGACATTGGAAAACGTAGGGAGCCTAAATGAGTGAAAGGTCTTGGCTACAACTACAGATACAGAGGGCAAAGAAGGGCCCAGCAGTACTCACACACGCTACCAGTTTCTCATACCATCACGTGGGTTGAGTTGTCCACGAAACTGTAGGTGCATGCAGTCGAGAAGCTGCCAGACTAAGGTTGCAGATGGGATTGTAGTATTGTACATGCAGACTGCTCAGCTGATGTCCAGATCAAAGTCTTAAGGGAGGGGGTTGGGGAACGGGAGGCCTGTCTGTCTGCATGATCTGGGAAGTCGATGTTAAGGGGTAGTAACAGACCACATGTCTGAAAGAAGAGAGGATGGCATGTAGGCATTCATCTTAGGCTACTGGGTAAGTCTACCTGCTAGAGTATAGTCGCTACAGGTTGATCCTGCAAGTTGTTGTCATTTCACTCGTCTCAGCCGTCTGCCTAAACAATCCATTCAAAATGTTAAGGGACGCTGGACCCGATTTCGAGCAGGTGCTGGTCCCCACCAATAGATGGAGCCTCCCCGGTGATGCTAGTGGTGTCTGCTCTTACCAGCACCCCTAGCATCGAATCGAGTTGTTTATTAAAAAAAAAAGAAAAAAAAAAGCCCAACCCCTAGGCTACCAGCCAGGCCGCCCGGGTCCACCCTATTTTTCCGGGCGGCCTGGTCGTGCAAGGACCAGGGAAGGTCCCAGCCAAAAAAAAAAAAAAAAAAAAAAAACCCGAAAAAAAGCTATGTTATGCTGGGTTAGGCCGACGCCCGGTCCAGACGGACGGGGGGGGGTCCGTCTGGCAAAACCAGACGAGCCAAACAACATGCCAGGATTTTTTTTTATTTTTTTTTTGAAGATGGGGTTGGACTGCGCTCGCTGAGAGGAGCCCAAATCCGCAGAGAAACTTGTGAAAGGTATGTGTGTTTGGGGGGGCGGGGGCGGTGACAAGCGGGTAAAAGGGTGTGTTGCAGCAGCCAGTCCGCTGAGGGGAGGGGTTAGAGGAGGGGGAGGAAGAAGAAGAAGAAGACGCCACATCCATTGTCTGCTCTCGTCCTTCTAGACCTGCCCCTCCCCCCCCGACGCCGCCGCCACTGCCCGCCATAATGTCGTGGAAGTAGAGGATGCAGCGACCAACAGCTAGGGAAAAAAGAAAGTAAAAATATTGGAAGAAGAAGAAGAAGAATTACCTCTTGGAAAAGCTTCCTAGAAAAGCATATTTGGAATTACTAGACCAACCTGCTGGGCTTCGCAACGGGGAATACCGTGTTCGAATTCAAACATGGCGTCGTAGCCCGCCAGAGGGGGAACCCATTTCTTGGCGGCTGACCTCAGCCACTGATCTTTGCAGATCGGCGACTGGGATCAGTCGCCGAAGAAGACCTTCCCCGCC